TTGTTGAAAATGGCTTGCAAAAAAGTAATATATATATATATATAACTTTTGATGACAGTTATAGTCTTCCTCAATAATTGGCCCCGTTTACTTTGCTGATTCGAGTTTAGAATTCGAGTTGAGATGTGACTTTATGTGAGAGCTTTTTACTGTAACAAAAAAATTAGATGTGATTGTTTGTGAGAGTTTTTTACTGTAGAAAAACTCGAATTCTAAACTCGAATCAGCAAAGTGAACGGACCTATGTTTCTTCCGTTCCCTATAACCTCACTATCCTCGTACATGCTTAGTGACTATTCCGTTTCAGAATGCTGCCCAAAGATGTATCTTTAAGAATTGTAAAAGAATTCTCATAGACATAGTTGAATAATTGGTTAAAGTTGACCCACTTACCCCTATAACACCATTGGCACTTTACTTCTAAACTTTACTTGTTTCAGTGCTCCAAAACTTTTTTTTGACAATTAACTCACTACACTTACTGCAACGCGACCCAAATTAATAACGTCGTTTAATTTAGTGACGAAAATAAGAGGGTCAATTCTTAAAGTTTATTGAGCAATTTGTCTATGAAAAGATTAGAAGGTAAAGTACCAAAAAATGCAAGGTGCATGTGGGCATTTGCGTTGTCAATTTGAGCTGAATTGCAAAGGGCTTAATAAGCTAATTAGGGTTTACTTTTTAAAATTAAAAATTAAGATAATAATTTGTCAAAGTATGAAAAGTTTTTCAAATAAGAACATATAAGGATTATACAAGATTTTTTATTTTTTTTTTCTTTTTTTTTTAATTTTTATTTTTTCTGTATAGCTCTTTCCTTACGTTATTACTCTTCTGAAGATCATCGATCATAAATCCTCCTTTTAGCTCCCACTTGTCTCTCTCTCCTTTGTGACTTTGTCCTCAGTTAGCACCTAGAAAGAAACCAACCATATAAATGTCAGAGAAATATGGCTATCTCTTTCTATTTCTTGGAGATGTTAATCTTCACAAATCCCAGAGGCGTAACTGTGCATTGATGCGAAAGTACCATACCCACTATGGCAATAACTTATTTCGATTTGTCATAGGAATTGAAAGGGTGTGTTTGGAATTCGTTTCAAAATGATTTTATTTTTTATGTGAAAATACAGAAATTATTTTCAAAAATGTGTTTAATAGTTTTATCAAGAGATTCTTTTCAATGTAAAAAAACCCATTAACGTCTCTCTTTCTCTCTCTTTGCTCGAGAGAAGAGAAAACAAAAATAAAAAATAAAAAACAACTAAACACTAAACTAAAAAATCGTTTTCATTTCTGTTTTTTATTTTTATTGCGCCAAATGCTATTTTAAAAATATTTTTATTTTTTTCTCAAGAAACGTGAAAAATAAAAATATGATCGATTCCAAACACGTCTAAGATTTCCATATCCCAGATGTGGAATTTATCTAATCTGTCAGCTCTGGGGAGAGTTGAGCTGTACCAAAAGTGTGTATATATTATCACAATTCACAAATATTGTCTCAGTTTAGCCTTAATTGGGGATGGTCGTTGTTGCCATGTTTCTTCCTTCCGGGAATTTGGTAACCCATGTCTTAGCAAATTTACAGTTTTAGTCTAATTTCTAAATTAATATTTTGCGTTCTAAATTTTAAACACTCCCTATTTTCTCCTTAGATTTTAAATTTGTTTCATTTAAACCTCTTTTATAAAAATTTCTATTAAAATCAAATAGAAAAAGATAGAGTTAAATATGGTTATGTAGTTTTTATCTGTTTAATTTTAATAAAAATTTAAATAAAAAGATCACGTGATTGTATTACTCTTTTTTTCTTTATTTGTTTTTAACTGAAATTACAATAAAAGAAATTAAGTAAAAATAACTCAAAATTTAAAGAGTAATGTGAGAGTTTTTAAGGTTTAAGAGACAAAATAAAGATAATCTTAAAATTTATTAATAACAATAATTCTTAACTTTAAATGTTGATTATCCTACTGATAACCAATTTAAACACATGTCATGTGATAAAGTAGTGTGATGAAAATTAGATTTAGTAGAGCGCGAATTCAATCTCATATTATATGAAATAAAATAAATAATAATTAAGTGTGCTGGCTTCCAAGATTTTGATCAGACACCATGAATTGGAGATTTTGGGAGCACGTCAATGCCTTCAGCCTCTTATGATTGGTCGTTTGAGGTTTGCAAAGGGAAACAGTTATGGATGGGGCTGGGAAATCTCCGAACAAGAAAATGACAAACGGCCACGTTGAAGATCCCAATCTGACAAGCTCACTTGGGCACATGTGGACCCACATCCAAATGTGTTATCTTATTATATTTATTCTTATGATCCGTTTAGTTCGTTAATTTAAAATTTTAATTTAAATTGGGATGTGACTTTATGGGAGAGTTTTTTACTGTAGTAAAAAAATTATATGTAACTATTTCTGAGAGTTTTTTACTGTAATAAAACTCAAATTATAAACTCAAATCGATAAAATGAACGGAGCCTTAATCATAACTACTCACTCATCAATTCTAATCTGAAAAGTGGAAACCAAGCAAATGTTGAGTTCTTATTTGGTAGGAGGGAAAAAAACAGAAAGAGAGGAGATATAGATAATCTAGATGAGGAAAATGAAGAGGGAAGTAAGTACCCTTTATACATAAGAAAACAGAACAAACGTCATGTCACTCATTTGGTAGAAAGTCATTTCTTAGATAGTATTTTGATTTTTCCTTCTAAAAAAAAGAGGGTGTAATTTATTTTTTGAAAAAGAATAATAAAACTACAAGTATATCTTTACAATTATCCCTATATACTCATTCGTAATATATCCTACTCCAGAGATAGGTATTGTCTTGGAGGAGGACCTCCCTCTAGTGAGAAGGATGCCCGAATATAAGTAATATGAGTAAAAAAAAAAAGAAAAAAAGAAAGAAATCGTAGACTAACGTGCATCTATGTTAAGAAAAATGATTTAAGATAATCTTCAAAAATTTTTTTTTTTGTGAAAAAATGAAGAATTTATGTTTGAAAGTGCATGAGTTTTAACTTTTATCTTTTACTCTTAATAAATATTTTTTTGTTAGTATAATTATTTGACTTAAAAATTTATAAATAAAAAATAAAAATATTGACTCATGTATAAGTATTTTTTTCTTTTATTTTACCGCCTTTTGTCAACAAATACAAAAATGTTACCAAACTAATCCTTATTTTGGTAAAGCGCTAATGTCAATGATTTTGACAGCCAATTAAGCAGACGTTTGGTTTATGGATTAGAATCATGAGATTATAATTATTTTTTATTTACGTGTATTTTTTGTAAGAGAAAATACTGTAGCGAACCATGATTCGAATCAGGGTACGAATCTCCCAACCAAACAAAACATAAATGTTGTAGACTTCTGCTTCCAATGGGCAATGAGTTCAAAACGAATAAATGATTGCCAACCACATTCATGTGGGCCTCCTAGCTCATCGATTAAGAAAGAAAATAAAATACTGCAAAGACAAGATTCAAAGCAAAAGTATTATTTTTCTTTAACAAGGCGGCAATTCAATCCAAATAAATATAGGGAGAAAGAGGAAAATAGACTAAGACTTGAGATGAATTAAAATTAATAGGTAAATAGTTTACATAAGTTAATAAATAGGCTAAATTACTATTTTTGTCAATAACTTGTCTGGTTATGAACCATAACTTCACAAGTTATTATCCATAATTCACGGGTTTTGTCCATAACTTGTTTAGCTATGAACCATAACTTGACAAGTTTGTCCATAACTTATCTGGTTAATGAACCATAACTTGACAAGTTATGACCTATTAATTTCTATAACTAAAAATTGACCTATATACTTTCTTAAGCTTTTCATATTGGCCTATTTCCTACTATTTCTGATAAATATTTTCTTTTTGGTAAAAGTGTTCCAAAAAAATAATACTACAATTGTAATATTTATTTACGTGCGATTATTCCAAATAAGAGTTAGAATTATAGGTTGTGTTTAGAATTAATCATGTTTTTATTTTTCACGTTATTTGAGAAAGAAAAAATAAAAAAAATTTTAAAACGACGTGTAGCGTAATAAAGACAAAAAATAGAAATAAAAATGAATTTTTAGTTTAGTGTAAAATGATAAAAAAATGAAAAATGACTTTTAATCATTTTTATTTTTTATTTTCTTTTTTTCCTCTCTCGAGCAAAGAGATAAAGACATTAATGAGTTTTTTTATATTGAAAATAATCTCTTGATAAAACTAACAAACGCATTTTTAAAAATAATTTTTATCAGAGATTAAAAACATTTTCATTTTTATTTTTTATACAAAAATAAAATTATTTTAGAATGAGTTTTAAATGCCCCTATAGATTTTGTACATAGAATAAAAAAATCACACTATTAAAGTTAATACCAATTTCTATTAATTTTTATGTTTATTTTAATTTTAATTTGACTTCGATAAGACAAATCTACGTTATCTATTATGAGAAAAACTCCTCCAAATAATACCATATAATTTAGTTGAAAATAAATGCAAATTATAAATACCTTCGATTACTGCTTGGGCCCACCAAGCTAACATCACGATCAGACTCTTCGCAAGCTCTGACAATAACCCCAACATTTTCTATCTTCAGCAAAAGTTGGTGTGGTGGTACTACTTTACTTACCAAATTAAGTTAAAAATAACCCAAAAAAATCATAAAAAATTATTGTGTGCGTGTGCATTGTGATACTTCGTTTATTTTATTAATTTAAATTTTAAATTTTAAAATTTTAAAATTAAAAATTTAATGTCACATTTAATTTTTTTTAAAAATATTATATTTTAATTCAAATTAAAAACTTGAGAAAGAAACGAAGGCTCACTCTTTTATACCTGAAATTGAGATCCATCCGTCAACGGCAGAAGAAGAGAAGGGCTTGAGAAGCGTCTGTGACGCTGATCCCATCACAGCCGTGGATCAAAATCCAAGAACCAAGACATTCCATTCACCGTTACCACGTCACAGTCACGATAACAACTTTGTCCTTCTGTGGGACGATATTCGCTTTTCCAACAATTAAATTCCCTCTCCAAAACAACCCCAAAACCACCACCAGCAAAACAAGAGCTCCTAATTCCATTGCTCGGATAAACCGGAAAATGGCGTCGCACCACCAGTCGGAGATCGAATCCTACGCCACCGACTCCGTCGGGTCGTCGCCACGCTCCGACATCCACTCTCACCACGACGTCCACACGCGCGTGCGCTTCATGTGCAGCTTCGGCGGCAAGATCATCCCTCGCCCGCATGATAACCAGCTCCGCTACGTCGGCGGCGAGACCCGCATAGTCGCCGTTCACCGCGCCACCAACTTCTCCTCTCTCCTCACCAAGCTCTCCAAACTCTCCGGTGATTAATTTTTTTTATTAATCCTAAATTAAAATTCCCCAATTTCCAGTTCAATTAGATTAATTGGAATTAATCGATTTTGTTAATTCAGGCACAAGCAACATGATCGTGAAGTACCAGCTTCCGAACGAGGACCTCGACGCTCTGATCTCTGTCACGACCGACGAGGACGTGGAGAACATGATGGACGAGTACGACCGCGTCTTGCAGAACCACAACCCTAAATCCACGCGCCTCCGTCTCTTCCTCTTCCGCAAGGGCGGCGAGGAATACTCTAGAACCTCGCTTCTCCACGGCTCCGCCAATCGCGACAACTGGTTCATCGACGCGCTTAACAGCGGCGGCGCTCCGTCGTCTTCGGCTCTCGAGCGCAACCGCTCTGAAGCCTCTTCGATCGTCTCTGAAGTCCCCGATTACCTCTTCGGCCTCGACAATTCCGACGACCCGTATCCGAAGGCCAAGACCCGATCCAATTTCCAAGAGACCGTTTCTCTCACGGACCCGGGCTCGCCTGCGCCGGTTGTCTCTTCTCCGTTCTGTTCGACCGTGCAAACCATTCTGAATCTCCCGCCGGTGAAGACCAAGCCCGATGATCCAACTCCGATACCGGAACCGAAGGAGAACCTAATCCATGCGGGTATGGACACACCCAGATTAATTCCGGGGAATCCCATTATGCATTACGTGGCGGGTCCGAATTATCCGGGTCAGCCTATACAGCAAGTACCCGTTTACTACGTGGCGAGTCACGTGCCGCATGGGAACGTGACAAGTGTCCCACTCCAACACGTTCCAATACGTGCTCAGTATGTCCAGGTCCAGCAATACCCGGTGGGTACGGATCAGATACCAGTCGGGTATCATATTCCGGGTCAGGTGTACGGTGTAGGGTTGAGACCTGCCACGTCATTGGACCCACATGACGTGTCCCCTAGGATAGTTCCAGTACCGGTTCCAGATGGGGTGGGCCAGCACTTGGTGTATGGAGTCAGAAACGGTGCGCATCAATTTCCGACATATCCGGGTATGGTGGTGTCCGCCGGGGACGATTTGAGAGGGTCCGGACGCGATTTGAAGACGGGTAAGGTTTCTAATTCATCTTGATTCAGAATAAAAAATGATGGTCGGCGTGATTGATTGTTTTGTTTTTATTTGTTTGTTTTTGGACTTCAAAAGAATGATTGTTTGGAATTGGTATATAGTTTGAATAGTTTCCAGCTTTTGCCAAATTTGTATAAACTTTTGCCTTGGCGGCTGAGGGAGGGTTGATGATTGAACTGTAATTAGTCTTTGGATTTTTGTTTGTTACAGTTCGTATTGTATGAATTGTGTTGAAAATGAATGGTAAACAGAAAACTACACAAGAAAAAAAAAAAAATTTGTCATGGTGTCTTTTTTGCTGAATAGGAGAGGATAAAAGCGATTACTTTTTCGCTATTGGGATATTTGTTAATTGTACTTGTAGTTACTTTTTTTTTTTTTTTTTGGCTTATATCAAAGAGTTTCTTGACACAAAATCAATAGTTCTGTAAACATTTATAACATTACACTAGTTCACGGCTGTTTTTAACGATTTTATATAGTACAAATGGTAAAATAAACCATTATAAAAATTTGAAAGACCCTATTAGGGTATATAGTTCGGGCCATTTATAAAATTAATCTTTTTTTTTTAAAATTTGTTGTTAGATCTACATAAACCAGTGGTAATCTACCCGATTAACAGTAGAAAGCAATAGAATAAAAACTACCAGATACAAAATAATTACCAATTTAAACCATCAAATTACCAAATCAGTAGACAGGACTTTTTTCCTACAAGAAACTCACTTTTTACGAATTGTCAACTTATATTATATAATAAATAATATCCACAATCACAAGTTGATATCCGCAATAACGGGTCCTCTTATGGTGCCTTCACAGCACTGTACTGGTTCACAAGTTTATCATAATTTTTTTAATTTTATTGTTTGAATTTGTAAGTTCTAACGTAAAATTTATAAGTTATCGTTTTTTTTTTTTAAATTCACAAGTCTATTGTGACTTATATAACTCCAACGTTTGAAGTTTGCAACTTTCAACGCAAAATTTGCAAGTTATCTTATTTTCCGGCACGATGCCTCAAATTTTTCTCACGGCACCACAGAAGTTCCCCTGCAATTACAAGCCTAGATGACCCGGATTCTGTTGCATGGTTTTTTACGTCCAGTACTTTTTCCTCTTTGGCAACTTTCGAAAGCTCTTCCAGTTCTAGCAATTGCTTTAGATCAGCAAAATAACGCACAAGATTTCATACCCTTGCTTCCAAACAACGCGCATACAGAACTAAATTAAACCGAAGCATCGAGAATTAAGTAATATATATGGCCAAATTAAAAAAGTATAAGGAATCGGTGAAACAAAAAAGCACTTTAGTGATATGCAAAATTTGAGTAGTTCAATATGCACACGAACTTCATAATTAACTCACTGAGGAGTATCTAGTCTAGTATAGATAATTGATCTTATTTTCAAATTATACATGTGAACTAGTTCATATATTCGAGTTCTCAAAGGACTCGCTCGATCGGAGAAGGGTAGGTTGAGTTCGTAGTATGGTGCGTGTTTGAAACCGTTCTTAAAAACGGTTTTCATGTATTTCGAAAAGTAAAAAATGAAACTGAAAATGCAACTACATTTGTTTAGCAAATGTTTTGAAAACGAAAATGAAAACGAAAACAGTGAGAATAGTTTTTGTAAAGGAAATAGAAAATAGCTTAAAGCTATTTTCACTTTTCTGTTTTCATTTTTTAGTACTTATTAATAATATTATATTATATTAATTAATAAATACTATTTCACTTTTTTATTATACTCAAAACAATCTCTTTAAAAACTAACCAAACGTAATTTCAGAATCGGTTCCAGAATAATTCTCAAAACAATCTCATTTTTACTTTTTATTGAAAATAAAATCATTTTAAAATAAATTCTAAACGTACCCATGATTTTGCACGTCGAAGAAAGAAGGGCTAGAGAAATATACTTTTAAAGAGTGCCAACAGAGATTTTAGCATATAATTTACCCGTGATAGCTAAACTTCTTTTAAGTGTTTTGTGGGCACATTAAACATTTAGAAAAGAAAAAAGAAAATTGATTTACCATTCAAAATGATAAAAAATTATAAATTATGTAATTTCACTTAAAAATAAACAATTTTCATTTAATTAATAAATAAAAAATAAAAAAAAACACAATGACACATAATTATTTAGAATGCAAAAAATAATAAACCTGCATAAAATCACGGCAAATCATGTATTTTTTTAAAAACATTTTGTGTCATTATTTACATTGCTTTTAAAGTTTAATTATTCATTAATACTACTTTTACGTGTAATTTAAATTATTATTATTATTATTATTATTTTCTACAAAAACGACTTATTAAAAACCAATTCCCAAAAGTGACATTTTCTAATTCATTCCCCACAAACATGAGAGCCACTGCGCTGAAACTGTTTCTTGATACGATTGGGCTTTATATTGTTGGTGATATGTTGATCAATTCTGGGCCTTTTAGTTCAGTGACTATTTGCGTTTTGCACTTGCAGTACTCGGCACTCGCCATTGAGTTAAGCTTAATTCTTGGTCTATGTTTAATTATGGGATACATTTAACAAATATGCTTTAAACATATATGGTCAAGATACTAATAAAAGAGTATTTATTAATAATAAGGAGTAAAAATTTAGATTCATACACTTTTAAATGTAAATTCTGTAATTTTCTCAAAAGGGGATAGGGTTAGTCCAGCATGGCTCTAAGCTCAAAAAGTTTAGGATCAATCCGGAATTTTATAAGGTACGTTTTTACGTTTTTTTTTTTTTTTTTTTTTTTTTTTTTAAAAATGATAATCTTGACAAACACCTCTTAAAAGTGCATGTGCCATGATTTTTACCATTTAATCTTGATTTATAACATTTTAGTCAAATAATTACATTAACAAAAGAGAATTTATTAAGAGTAAAAAGTAAAGATCCAGACTCATGCATTCTCAATGATAAATTTTTTATTTTTTTCTTTAAAATTGTGACGTTTGTCCGGTCTTAAAAGAGAAAGAATCGACCCAATCTAATTTTAAATTCAAAAAATTTAAGACCAGATCTAAATTAATAGTGACGGGCTTCGTGCCTACTTATTTAATTCGGTCCAAACTTAAAAGCACCCTTAGATTGGTGGCTTTATTTATTTATTTTTTACCCACAAGAAAAACTGAACAGCTTGCTCTCCCTGCGTAAACGTCCTTGTGTAGACGAGGAGGAGAGGGAGTCATTCGCACGTCAGGATGACGTAGGCAAATGTTTCTTTTGAAAGCCAATGGAGGATTTCTACTTTTTTGCGTAAAAGATTAACACGAAAAATTTCAATGCAGATTTCACAAATAAAAATAATAACAAACTAATCAGAAAATTAGCAACCATTTTGTTAAGAGAGAAAATGTGCAAAAAAGTTGGCAAAAATTATTGTGCAATGGTTTTAAATTTGGACTTCTTTTACATGTTATATATCTTTAGATTAATTTCATTGGTGTTTCAGAATTTTGAGATCGTTATCACTTTATCTCATAAATTTTAAAAATTCTCATTTTGTTTATTGAACTTTAAATTTGTCTCAGTTAAGTTCTTTATAAGAATTTTTGTTAAAATTAGACTAAAAAAAGATATTAAGTGTGGTTATGTGGTTATTATTTATTTATTTTTAATATAAATTTAAATAAAAAGACTATGTGACTACATTATTTTTTTTATCTATTTTTAACAGAAATTACAATAGAATGAATTAAGTGAGAACAATTTAAAATTTAAGGGATAAAGGGGATATTAAAATTTTGAAAGTAAACTAAAAATGACTCTAAAATTAAGAAACATCAGTGATAATAATCTTATATGTTTTGATACCGAAATAGCACTTAATTAGTATATGCTCATTATGATTCTTTATAAATATAGCATGTTAACACATTTTAGTAGTACAAAATTTTTGGTTCAAATTTCACACACAAAAAAGATGATCCCCAACTATGTTCAAGAACGAGGAGGCCCCACTTGTTCATTGTCTTACACGAAAACGATATGATGATGCTTTCTGCATGGGGGCAAAGCGTGCATGCATTACTCATAAAATCACATGCTGACACGCATCTCTCTTTCATGTTTGCTGATTTTTGTCATGGTTCTTGTATTATATTTATTTATTTATATTCATGTGTCTATGAAGCGCAGAAACGTACATAATTTAAATCCCATTCATTTTACCGATTTAAATTTAAAATTTAAAATTTAAATTTTATTACAGTAAAAAATTCTCAGAAATAGTCATATTTAATTTTTTTATTATAATAAAAAGTTCTCACATAAAGTCATATCTCAACTCCAATTAAAAACTTAAATCAACGAACTAAACAGGTAATCTATCCTCCAAATTAGGTGGATCACAACTCTATCTTTATTTTCACTGCGTCAAATCATTATTATTATTATTATTATATATATATATATATTTTTTTTTTAATTTTAAAATTTTGTTTTTACCGTGAATTTTTCATTCATGGTGATCTAATTTTGGAGAAGAATTAATTTGATTGATTTTCTATGAGGTTTATATACAAATCGTTTGATTCATATATTTAAATCATAATTTAAACTTTTTATTATGGTGGTTGTTATAATACAAACTTAAAAGTTAATCTAGGAAGAGTAGTCCAAATCCTTTTAAATTCAATATTCCATCAAGTTTAAATTTTAAATCACATGCTGCCAACCATAGTGATTTTATATATATAAATACGAGTAGCGTAAAGAGAAGTGGGAAAACAGAAAGGAAAAAGAAAAAGTTTAGCTGGTCTTCCATTGAAGGGAAAAATGGGGTTTCTACTCATGAGCTTTTAGGCTTTCTCTTGCACCAATGCCCTCCTAGAGAATCCATTTCATTGTCTAATAATAAGATGACTTTCACTAACAAAGCAGAGAATATCAAATAATTGAAGAACATCAATGATGTTGATATATTTACAAAAAAAAAAAAAAGAAGGAAAATTCTGGAAAAAAGTAGTAAAGCTATTCCCTACTTTAATTCCTCTCCATACATCTAGCATTACATATATATACGATATACAACATTTTAGAGCAAATAAAAAAAAATGTATGTGGGATATATACGTTTTAATTTCTTCAGATTACAAGGATTTCAAGCGTGTTACGCGTTTCTTTGATCTTGTTAACTTAAGCAAATAAGTGTTCTCCTTTTCTGTTCGTGAGGGTTCCACTTAGAGTCGGTAATATGAGTCACGACACGACAATACGATTCGAAAACGAC